CCCCTCCCTCCTCCTCCTACTCCTCCTTGGCCTCCTTGTCCTCCTTCTCCACCTGGTCGTCCTCGACTTCGTGCTCCTCCGATCGCACGCCGTGTGAGCCCGTCGAAGCGCTCAGCGCAACGCCAGCCTTACTACTGGGAGGGCGAAAGCAACTCCTGGGAGGCCTTCGTCACTGAGCCAGAATTGGCCTGGGATTGAGCTGGACTATACGGGATTCAAACGGATCGAACAGGAATGAGCCGGATGTAGCGGGATTGTGCTAGCTTAGGCGAGCGTTCGACCAGGGATATCCCCGCGCACATCCTGAATTCAACCTCCCACGAGTCGCATCCCAAGTAAGCTCGGACTGCGCCGACCCTGGCGGCCTGTCTGCGGAACCCTCAGCGTGGTGAAGTGCGCAGTCGACCTCTCCTGGCTGTCGTCGTTCCTCGGCGGAGCGCGGGATGGGCGGCGCGAGGGGGGCGGCCTGCACAGCGGGCGGGCTGTGCGGGAGGGGTCGGAGGCCTCTCCTCGAGGAGGCGGGGGCCTCGAGGGAGCCCCCGAGGTGCTCGCTCCGAACGCCACCGCCACCTCGCCCCGCCACCGACCATGGAGGCCTCCCAGATCGGGTCCGAGTAGACGGGGTCGGAGGATCGCGCCGCATCGATGATACATCGGCGATGCGTTGGCGATGCATCGGCGATGCATCGGCGATGCATCGGCGACATCGGCGTGGAGACGGGCTCCACATCGAGCCGCATCGGCGATGCATCGGCGATGCCGCGCGATCTCCCGACCCCGCATGCTCGGACCTCATCTCGGAGGCCTAGAGACCAGAGGTAGCTCAACTCCCAGGGTCCACCCTGGCCAGCCTCTCCCCGAGCAGCGTCTGCACTGGGGGGACCTCCAGCTCTCGTTACTGAGCTTTCACCCAGAGGCCCCCGCCCGTGGCCGCCTCGTGGCCGCCTCGTGTGCTGGCTGGGCTGTCCGGGTTTCCGCGCAGCGCCCGCCCGTGGCTGTCTCTTGGCGTTGGCATGCGTCTGCACCACATCCGTCACCGTGCCTCTGGGCACGGAGTGGGCGTGTCCTCAGGTCCTTTGCCCAATCCCCTGAGCCTCAGTCCTCACTCCTAAAGGGGACCTGAGCCCAAAGTCTCAAATCTTCTTGGGCCTTCCGCGGCTTCCCTGGGGCTTGCCGCGTCTTGTCGCGTGGCTTCTTCGGACCCAAAAGGGCCCTAAGTCGGGTCAAGAGGGCTCCCAGAGGCCGCCAAGACGGTCCAAGAGGGCCCGAGTCGCCGAACGATCGCCCCAGGACGCCCAAGATGGCCCCAAGACGGCCCAAGAGTCCGCCCAGACGCCCCAAGAGGCCTCCAAGAGGCCTCCCAGAAGGGCCCGAGAAGCCAAAATCGTTGGTTTTCTTTTGGTTTCTAAGGATGTTGGCCTTATCGTTTTTGCTTTGATTTCCTGTGCTCCAAGACGGCCCAAGAGGCCCCTCAGGCCGCTCCAAGGCAGCCCCAGAGGCCTCCGGAAGGGCCCCAAGACGGCCCAAAACCACCCCAAGACGATCCAATAGGCGCCCGACACGGCCCAAGAGGGCCCCAAGACGGCCCCAAGAGGGGCCCAAGAAAGGGACATGGAACCGAAAATCCGAGCCCTCCGCTCAAAGAGGCCCCCAGGAAGCCCCAAGAGACCCCCGAGAGGCCCCAAGAAGCCCCCAAGAGGACCCAAAGAGGCCCCAAGATGCCCCAAGACTGTCCCCAAGAGGCCTCACGAGGCCTCAAAACTGCCTCCCATAGCTTCCCGAGAGGCCAACCACGAGATCCCAACCAACATCCATGATGCCTCTGACCCACCACCCAGGCATGGTGGCGGGATTTGCCGAAGGCCATTGGATATTTCGCGCCGTGCTCCCATAATTTTACGACAACTCCAACCAATATACCACCACCAGCCCTGGCTAGGCCCATCCTGGGCCCTGGACTGGTGCACAGGCTCTCCTGGCCTAAGCTTGGAGGTCTATACACCAGTCCAGGGCCCAGGATTGACCTGGCCAGGGCTAGCGGTGTATTGTCGGCGCCCCTCCGAAGATTGTTCCCGCAAGCTTGCACCACATTACTTGGTACACACCCACACACTTGCTGAAGTCGGCGAGCAGCAGACGGACGTGTGCATTACGACCGAACGTTGCCGATAGCGCGGCGCACAAGCAATATCACGGCAACATGCAAGCAATGGGTGTGGAAGAGGAATTGTGAATCCAAACGAAACATGCAACGTCCACAAAGCGAAGAAATAACTCAACTCAGTGTCAACTGAAGCGCGAGAGCCAACGGCTCATTGCGGTCACCGAATCAAAAATTAAGGTGTAGACAGCGAAGCACAAGAAATGCTATCACAGATTGGTGGTGTGGCCAACCTGACCGAAGCCGATGGGCGGGGCGGAAAACAATGGGCCGGCGAAGCAAGGCTAAGGGATGTGTGAAAGCCGCCGCGTGGCAGCTCCACATGCAGCGCGCGTAAACTGTGTCATCGGCCATGCCGAATACTGCAAGCACCGAAGCTGTAGTGCGATAGTGCGATGTGCAACGAGCCTGCACTAAGGAACTTGAGAATTGTTTGTTCGTTTCAACCCGAAGTGAGTTCTCCTGCAGGGACTGGGGCGGCGACAGCCTGCAGAATGACATCCCTGCCAGAGTTAGGCAGGGATCCCAAGGCCAAATGCAGGAGTCCTGCAGATGGAAAAGCAGCTCGGACCGCCTGCCCTCAACTGCGCAAGAGGACGGACGGTCCAACAGCCAGGGCGCTGACGCTGCACAGGTGTTGGGGCTAGGAGCCCGAGTCTCCAGTCCACAGCAACACCACCCAAAAACGAGCAACTGTCAAGGCAGAGCAGCCTGCCCCCGTGCTCGCCGAAACACGCGAAGTCCTCCACGAGTGCGCCGCGCCTCCCCCCTGAGGCGGGGTGCCTGACACACGCGCCGAGCGGGGCGCACACACACACACACACACACACACACACACACACACACACACACACACACACACACACGAGACGGCCGCGCGATGCAAGAGGAGGGCCGAGATGTTGGGGCCAGGAGCGCCAGGCTACCTGGCCACGGCAACACCTTACACGAGCCACGGTCGGGATGGGGCCATCCCCGTGCTCGGAGAAAGAAGAAGTGCACCCTAGATGTGCGCACGCCTTCCCCCTGAAGCGGGGTGCCTGACACGCGTGCGAGACGGACGCGCACGCACTCGAATAACAGCACGCATCAGAAGAAAAACCCCAGTCGCCCACACAAGGACGACGAGATCTGCTATCCCAGGTGCAAGAAGCGCCAGGACGACGGCAGCCTCGCCCCAGATGTAGAGCAGAACCAAACTTCCACAAGAAAGAAGAGGCCCAAGGCCGGGAAATAAACAAATAAACGACCACCCACACACGGACGACGAGGCCCGCAGCCCCCGGCGCAGCCAGCGCCAGGACGACTGCCGACCTCGCCCCAGACGTGGGGTATAGCACGGATGCCTGCCGAAAGGGTCAGTCGCATCGGGCCGTGCTGGAAACGAACGAATAAGAATAAAGGCGCCCCTTACGCCATAGAAAATAGCTAATCAGAACTGCCCGACTCCTCCTGGCGTCGCCTCGCCAGGACAGAAGGATTGCCCCGTCGCAGCTCTCGATGGGTTCCCCGATTCTGCAGCGCCAAAAGAAGCTCCGAGGCCATCTCCTGCTGACGGGCCTCCTCCTCAGAATCCGTGCCCTGCGGGTGCCCCGAGGGAGCAGGGAGGTGCCTCTAGGGGCCTCGGGGCAAGCGTTCCAAGTCAGAGCAGGATGTTGGGCAATATACACCAATGGAGGGTCTCTTGGGGCGACGCCCCCTCCGACCAAACCCGCCTTCCAAAACGCGATGGGCGAGTCGGGCACTTTACAAGCAGGCCTCTAAACCTCCCGTGAGACGAGTAGGACTTACAAGGTAAACACAGAATTAAAGTGGCTCCGTCAGAACATTCCAAGCCTATGCATGAGTGACCCAAGCTATAAATTTGCTGTAGCGGCAGCTCCCGAGTGCTAGGGCAGCCCTCCAAAGGGGGCTTGCGAGGCCAGGGGCTGCGACGCACTTTGAGGCAGAGCAACCACTTCCAAAAAGTACCCGAATGCCGCCAGAAATGCAACCCCTTGCCAGCTCTCTCTGGCTTCGGCGGACGGACGTAAACTACTTCTCCGTGCCCTCGCAGGGGAGCAAATTGGGGGAGAAGGTGCATCGCAAGAGTGCAGTAAGCTCTAGCGAATGTGATGTCAGTGGTAAGGGATTCCTCGAGCTTTAAATCTGAAGGGTGCCTCGCAAGCGCGGCTTTAGCCAGGGCGTCGGCCTGGTCGTCCCCTTCCCTCCAGAAACGAAGCTGAGGGGAAATCGAAACATCGTTAACCGATTGGTGGCATTTAACATGCGAAACCTGCGTTCAATGTTTAGATCCAGGTTCGGCTCTGGCCTGCAACAGATGACCATAATAAACGCCTTTGTCACTGAGCTGTCTGGCACGGTCGGCGCCAAAAAAAAATACAACGCTCTCGCAATCGGAAACCATAGACGAGGGACCCGAAATCAGTTGGACACCCGCCAAAAACAATCAAAACTCTCCAGCCTGGGGCGTCCGAGGGAAATGGGCCCAGACGGGCCCCGAGGCGGTGGCGAGCAACTCCTGGTCGGAACTGTACAGGGCGACTCCCCAGGAGGCTCTAGACAATTGCCTTGATGACCCTTCTCGCACAAGATCCATCTACAAAAACCACACCCTCAAACGATTCTGGCTGGGGGGGGGGGGGGGTCGAATGCCAGGCGATGGTTAAAGCATCGTCGTCCATGTGGCAAGGCGGGGGATGCTGGCATCCAGGGTGAGGGGGGGCTCCGTGCGCAACCACAAACAATTTATCAGACGAGGTAACGCAATCAAACAGACAGTCCAGGAGCTCCTGACCTACCAACCCTGAACGAAGAGCTTGCAACTTCGGGCACATCCAGAAGCGGTGGACAATCGAGTCGGTGGGCGCGCCGCAGAGCTCGCACTCTGCTGGAAACTGGTACCCGCAGCCGCGGGCCTTCATGCGAATCCAAATGCCGTCGCACGTACAGCCCCTCAGCATCCCTTTTCTGAAGGGGAGCGCATTTCGAGGAGGCCAAGAAAGAGGAGACCACATCGTAGCAGAGCCGGCCGTGCCCGAAACAAAACTTGCGCGCCAGGTAGCGCTCGAGTCTCCTAAGGACCGCTGCTCGAAGGTGTTTCCTCAGAAGGGCGGGGGGGGGGAATGAGAGCTCGTGGGAGTTCCCTAGATCGTCCACCAACCTGTTGAACTCGGGCATCTCCCAACCAAGACCCAGGAGGGTCAGGTGCATCCCAGACAGGGGGCCCTTGACCCCTCTCCACGCGCGGGGGGGGCAAGCCCAGA